AGCGTTGGTCGGAATGATCCCAATCCTTGATGCACACCAAAGCTTCAACAATATCCTGTTGCAATGTGTTTCTCTATTCTTCAAGTATTCAGCCAGTTGTACTAAATGTTTGTTCACCTGCAACAGTGGAGACTGGGATTGAAAAAATATCCATTGCTAGTCGAGTTAGGATCGGCCAAGTTAATGCTCGTGCTCTCCACCACTGAACCAAATCAAACACTTCACTATTGTATACCACTAAGCCCTCACTCAGGTACGTCATTAACTCGTTGAAGCCGCCGCTGTTGCCGCCACCTCTTGATGAAGATCCACTCCTAGAATCTTCTTGACTTTGAGTCGTCGTCGTCGTCTTCTTCTTCTTCTTCTTAGACAACCCGAAAACATTCAAGAATGAATGCGGATTGTCATCTCGATGTTGCGGTTGTTCTACACGAGGTGTGTTTCTAAACCTACTTTCATAAGAGCTATAGAGAGATAATATTTTTTCCTTTATAATAGGAAATTGGTCAGTAGTGTCGATATTTAAAAAGTCACCTAAGTTATCTAATCCACTTTCTAAACCATCTAATTTTAATCTAGGCTCGAAAATAACACCGAAACCATACAACATTGGTAATTTAGACCAATATTTTTTAAACTTCTTTTCCATAGAAGTGATAGGAACTATTAAAACCTCGTGTGTCCTAAATTCACTAAATAAAATAGACATTCTTAAAAGTTCTCCTAACGCTAATGGTGACGTTGGGTAATAAGTTCCACTAAGCTTTAAAGTAACTTCGTGAAATCTACCTAAAAAGTTAAACAAGAGTTCCGCAATTTGCCAATCAGTTTCATCTATAAAGCCTTGTCCTAATTTTACACTAACATAGTTTGTTATAGCATCTTTATAGGGGATGCATTGTTCAAGCATTATATAAGTGGAGTTCCATCTTTCGGCATATCTAAGGCTAATGCTCTAGAATTTTAATTACATGTTTGTAGAAACCTAAACCAATCCTGTATTCTTTGATTACTACCTTGAATCTAAGTAATGTTATCTCTAATTCTTTTAATATGACCTGACATTGATTTTAAACCGGATTTTACTATTAAATTAATTATATGACATGCACAACGCTGGTGAAATATATCATTATTACCGAATAAACTTAAATCATTTTCAAAAAGTTCTATTGTTTTAGTATTTGCAGTAGCATTGTCTAATGTTATGGCCATTACTCTATCCCTTAAACTATATTCATCAATGACAGATAAAATTGTATTACATATTAAATTGGCGGCATGTGATCCTATAACACATTTAAAATCTAATATTCTCTTATCTAAATCAAAACCCTTATAATAATGTCCGGTTATAGCTAAATAATTTTTGTTGGCAACGGCGGACTAAATATCTGCCGTTAACGCAACGCAACCACTAGTAGAGTGTAAAAAGTTGATTAATGTTTCCTTTTCTTGTTTTTATAATTTTAATGCATCTCTCCTATGAGTAGTTCTTGAAAAAAATTGTGCATTAGGATTATGTACAATTTTAATATAACGTTGCCAATTCCTTTGTTCGGTAAAACTAAGTGGTTGATCTAATATGGCTACTAATCGTGTCATTTCCATACGATCGACTTGCGGATCATATTTTCAAGTGGTTAGACCGCCGGTTTGACAGTCAAACGATATTTGTGTTTGGCGGAGATCAAGTCCGCCTCCTTGCTTTTCAAGACACTTTTCAGAGTGTCTTCTTAAGTGTGTAGTGTCGTGAATAGTGTTACCTTTTAATTTATCACCACAATATTTGCATTGAGCTTTGTATTTAATGTTACCGTTATTGTCGGCCTCCTTAAATGTGTTGAAATGCTCCCAAACTGTTGAGGTGCACTTGCATTTCTTCTTAGAACTTACAACACTTGCACTAGCACTTCCGCTTGCCTCTCCTCCACGCCCACCACCATTACGTCCACGACCTCTAGTACGTGTACCAGGGCTCGGATTTGCAGTTTTCTCAGCAACTCTTTCTGTAGTTTGCAATTTATGCGTTTGAAAAACATTAGGAAATTGCTCTTCTTTGATGTTGAATTGGGCATCAATGAGAATATCACCACCATAACCAGAAGAAGTCATTATGAAAAATAAGAGAGATTGAGAGAAATTAAGAGATGATGAGAGTTTTTTGGTGAGAAAAATAGTTAGGGGAGGGGGGTATTTATAAGAAATTTTTTGGCTTGAAAAAAAAATTCCCTCAAAAATTCGGTTCCAATGGTAACACAAATTCGGGTGGTCGGGTCGGGTTCGGGCAACGGTAAGAAAAAGCGCTATTGGGGTCGGCCGGTGGTCGGGTCGAGCAAAAAAAGAACCGTTGTGTTCAAAATTCGGGTTAACGGTCAAAAAAATTCGGGCAAATTCAGGTTACGCGGGAAAATTCAAAAAAAAAAAAAAACCGGCGGACGGCGATCTCAACTTCTCCACCGGCGGCGGGCTCCCGAGAATGGTTTTTCCTCAGGTTGCCTGAGCCCGGAAAAATGGTCGGACAGGGGCGAATGATGCCTGTCTGCCGTGTCCAAAAATTTTCAGGCATCGGGCATGTGCGCCGAAGTTTTAAGACTGACCTTGCCATCAATTTCCGTCCAAAATATAACGGCACAGTGCATTTCTTGCTCACGTGAGCCCTTCTTTTAGCTGAAAAGATGAAAATGCCCTTATAGCTGTTATATTATTCAAACAAATCAGTTTCCGCCCCAATTTCGAGAACTCTGTTTTTGTTTTTCCTTTTTTTTTTCGTTCATCCTCTTCATTTGCAGACCGGTGTTTGGGGATTGCTTTTTCAGTTGTGATTCACGCTTTGGAAACCGATAAGCGACGGCGACGGTGAAAGGCGAAAGGCGAAAGGCAAAGTTCGAAACCCAAAAGTGACGGCGAAAGGCGAAACCCAGAAGCGACGGCGACGGCGAAAGGCGAAACCCAGAAGCGACGATGGTAGTCCGGCAGAGAAGAGGAGAAAAGCCACTAACTTTTGGTAGTCAACTGATTATCTTGTCCGATCATCTTGTCTTTTCCATCTTTGTCGCTGTCACGATGTGGCTCCATCATTGAACAATCCAATTGAGGATTTTGTACCCCAGATGAATCCATCATGTTCTCATCCAATCCATCTCTCAGTTTGCCAGGTTGCCCCGCGAAAATCCCCAATTTGGATTCTAACGAATTTGAGATGCAAGAAACCTCATCCATTGGTTCAGTTGTTGATATGCAACGCATATGAGCTTCTCCACCACACGAGGTTTGTGACTTGTAATCACCATCCTTTGCAGCCAAACTGCCGAACTCCGAGACATCTCTATCAACTCAGAGCCTTCAAGTAGCTCCCCAGAATCGCATCTCTCAAGCACATCTGTACCGCTGTCTTCAGCTTCGCAAGAGTGACAACTGTCGTTAGACATAGAAAAGGAACCTTTGAAGCTTCCCTGCTTCTCCACCTTAGATGGCAATCCTGCGAGGTACTCAGGAGCACAGCGATCCACATCTGGGGATCAAATTTCACAAACCCTAAATCACACGCACGATCAAATCAGCCCTAAAATCTGCCCCAAATCTCCCAATTTGTCATTTTACACATATGCCCCCAAAAGAAGGGCTCACGTGAGCAAGAAATGCACTGTGCCGTTATATTTTGAACGAAAATTGACGGCAGAAACTACATTGTACTTTTAAAAATAATTTAAAATTTATCTCATTAAAAAAATTTAAGAATTAAACTGTCATTTTTTAAAAAATTTAAGAATCATTCGTGTAATTTATTCATTTCTTAAAAATAAAGAAAATGAGTTTCTTCTTTTTCAATGAAATTACCTGAAGTTACAAAATAGCATCTAGGTTTTATGTTCTCAACGTCTGCTACCTCGTTAACGATGCATATAAAGAACATAGACCTTGAAGAATCCTATTGTTCTCTGGCCTGAATTAGACTTGCAAGAAGCCCTTTGTTGTCGAGGTCTCCGTTTTTGGAATGACAAACCTACAAAATCATCAAGGTTCAATATAAGATCACAATTACCATATGCAAAATTGGCTGCTAAAACCCAAGGCTATTAATCATTCTATACTTTGCATTCGGCAGTCAGCAGCCTTGCAAGTTGAACAACATAAACTTGTCGAGATACTAAAGTGAAATTAGGCACGTAAAGTTAATTGTTTTGGACTACTATATGATGAACAATAGCTATATATCAACTCTTTTATATATTTAGGTTTTATGATGTAACACGAATGGAAAACAAAAGAAAGGAATAAAAGAGTGAAAAAGAAAATAAGAAAATAGAAGAGTTAAAAGAAAAGAAAAAGCGGGGAAAAAAGAAGCATAAAAAGTGGTGTGTAACATAAAAGTGGACAAAAATATTAAGATGATAGAAAAATATGACTCAAAAAACTAAGATTATGATAAATATACATATATATGTGTGTGTGTGTGTGTATATGGAGAGAGGGGGAGAAAGGAGAGAGAGTATTTGCAAATTTGATATGCATCAATAATAAAAAAGGAAGAGAGCGACAGAGCAGAAGAAAAGGACGAGAGAGAATTGGGGTTTGCTGAAGCAGGGAATAAAGCAAATGAAAAAAAAAAAAAATGTAAAAATAGGTGAAAGGAAATTTGAAAGGACGTAAAATCAGAAAAGTTGCTAAAAGATATTTTTTTCAATTTATATTTTATTAAGTAATTTTAATAAATATTTTTTAAAAGTGTATCAGTTAAATTTTTTATTTTTTATTATTAATTTATAATATTTTAAATTAAATAATTATAATAATAAAAAAATATTTATTAAAAATAAGAAATAAAGATCTAAACTCTTACTCTTAGTAATAAATTCTCATTTTTTCTTTTATTAATGATTTTTTTTAACCCAAAAATAGGAGTAGAAATGACCAATTACTTTACTTTTAGGAAAAAAAAAATCATTGGATTTCATCACTCAGAGGCACACATATCATCAACAGGATATGATGCTGGAAAGTTACAGAGAGTAAAAAAAAACATTGGCTTCTCAGTGTGGGCCTTCCACCACTGGTCCCGTAGTCCCTCCGTCCTTGTAAACTAACGAAGAGTGAACGAGAGAGAGAGAGATGCCAAATAGCCACCTTTCAAGTTCAAAATGCTCGGTCTGCAGATCATGGACCTCACGAACTCACAAACATATTATTTACCATGAGGCATTAAAGAACATTTTATTATCAAACGGAAATTAAAAAAACAAAAACAAAAACTGAACCCATGAGGAAATTAACTCGATTCCAATAAGGGGGCGGGCATTCACAAGTTTACACGAGGATTTTGAAGAAATTGGGGGCTCTCATTCCTCGATCTCACAAACAGAACATCAAGTGGAAGACATCATGCATCTTCTTAAGCAACTTTGATGGATGTGAAGACGAAAGCGGAGAAGATGGGGCTTCTTCTGTGTGCTTTTCCTTCTTCTTTCTCCTCAACTGGAAGAATTGCTGCATTACTTCAGCACAATCCGATGCCAATATGCCGCGTCGGATATTCATCTTCGGGTGGAACGGGTGGACAGGAGCAGCTGGTTTTTCCGATACTTCGGAGTTGTTTCCTCCCTCGCCATCAGGGAAAAGCCTGCAACACGAAGTTCTCAACCTTCTTATTCATGATCAAAATTTTAACTCATTTTTGGTGTATATTTTTCGCCTCTAGGTGAGTGAATCAGGTTAATCTTGCATAGACGGTCACACCAATCCACAACCCTAACAAATTTTATTACTCTACGCGTCTATAATCTATGTAAATTTTTTCATTTCAACTCGTGTCAAGAAATAACCTGATCCGGGCTCTGCAGCCCACTATAGCAGGAAAAGAACAAGGATACACATGTTATCAGCTTTAGTTTCTAATAAATCCAAACAGCTTAAGTTCAACGAAATGATCATATTTTTCTTTCCCAATAAGAGAAGAAAAACTGAGAAAATGGCCTAAAATTTATGAAAGTATTTGATTCCTAGGCCAGCCAGCTTAAGGAGGGAATGTATCCTGCGTGACATGCATAATTGGTCACTATCAGCGTATCAAGCAAAATTGAGTTTTTGATTGAAATTGACAAATCCGAGACCACCTTGATTCAGTGGAAGAGAAAAATTCGCAAGAGACTTGAATATTTGTGCAACAGAAAACTCGCTCTTTTAAAAACTAAAGATATGTAAAACCAATATTAGACTTGGTAGAACATATCCCAAAAAACTTTCAAAAAGTAACCCAAATATATATATATATATATATATATATATTCGAAGAAATTTTGCGAATCAATTACCTTATCCAGCTGCCATCAGCACCAAGAAGCTTATTAGGAGCTCCCCATACAAGAGTGGTAATTCTTGCTTGAAGTATTGCTCCAGCACACATCGGACATGGTTCAAGAGTTACATATAGTGTAGTGTCCTGACAGGGTGAAACAAGACTTGAGTTATCACAAGATGCTATGAGATGGACAACCTTTGACGGCAACATATACCAACAAGAAACTCAAGAAAGGGCAGTTACGTAAGTGTAATGCCTTTAGGCAGAGTCAAGCAACAGCTCTTCTATTTTTTCCCCTTTAGTCTTAATTACTCCTTTATTCTTATACATACATATATATATATATATATATATGTAAAGCCATTCTCTTCTGGGATGAGGGAAAATAAATGAAACAGAAGCAAGACTATCATATCCGTTGGGACTTGGGAACAATATAAAGCCAATCCTAATCCTCCTGCGGAGAAGGAATGGCAAGGCATAACATGAACAGAAACTGACAAGGTCGCTGATTCGCCTTAACAATGAGTCAGTTAATAATGCTCAAAATGAGTCCCAGGTTAGTGGTTGTTGCTTGAAATTAACTCTAACAAGCACTTCAAATAAAAGCAGAAACACCAATTTTTTGCAACCGTTTTCACAAGACTAAAGAAATTAAATTTCTATGCAAATGTCCGAAAATGAGAAGAAGGAAGGGGGGGGGGGGGGACCCGCA